ATATATATATATATATAAGTATAATGTATAAGTATACTCTCTCTTATATATGTATAATATATGTATAAGTATATATAAGTATACTCTCTCTTATATATGTATAATATATGTGTGTATATATAAGTTTATATGTGTGTGTGTTTTTATGTATAATACAATTTGTTTATGTAATTACTATAAGTATTTACAATTTGTTTATGTATAATATATGTATATGTGTGTCAGTGTGTGTGTATATATATACATATACATATATTGAATGACATGAATACTTTGGGCTACTTAGTATATAAGTATATATAAATATAAGTATATTCTCTCTTATATATGTTTATATCTCTTATATAATTATATATATGTATAAGTATGCTCTCTCTTATATATGTGTACAGTGTATACTCTCTCTTATATATATATTTATATTCTCTCTCTCTTAGTATATAAGTATACTTATATATACACATATATAAACATAAACTTATATGTACATATATAAGTATATTTATATAATAGTATAAATACATATAAGAGTATAAATATATATTTATATATCTATACATATATATAAACATAAACTTATATGTACATATAATATAATTATATTTATATAAGAGTATAAATATATATATACTATTATATAAATATAATTTTTATGTTTTATTGTTTTTAAAAATTTTTAAAAAAATAAAAAAAACAAAAAAATCCTGGCCGGCCCGGTGTTCGGCCCGGTCGGGCCCGGGCCCGGCCCGGACCACCCGGGCCCGGACCACCCGGGCCCGGGTCCGGGCTTGGGTTTTGCCCGGCCCGGGCCCGGTTTTCCGGGCCGGCCCGGGCCGGGCCGGCCCGGATGGACAGCCCTACGACTATCTAATCTAGTTTTGATGATTAACAAACAATTCCTAACAATGTTTGTCGAGTGTTTATATTTGATTGTTAGGTATTCTACATAAGGATCCTCCGTTGGAGGTTGGATGGGTTGCACCTTATCGATGACATTCAATGGAGGTTAGCGGAATATCGGAATGAAACCATTTACAATTCAAAGTCAAATTCAAGATCAAGCTTCATCCGCAACCAAAACGAGCTTTATTAAAGATCAATAACTTGGGTATAATGTTTTAGGTTTATACTTTGTGTGTTGATACTTAAAGCTCAAACATTATACACACATACACATTTTCTTTTTATAGAGTTTCCTATTTATCGATTTTGTTTTGGAAAATAATGTGTTTAGCTATATAAATATGAAACACATGAATATAATTACATACACACATATTCGTTTCATGTTTATATGTGATTAAAATGATTTCATTAATTAACAAGTTTAAAATCAATGAAAACATGTTT